TAAATGAAAATAATTTAAATGATGTTCTCCAAAGCATAAACATAATAAAATATGATAATAATTTTAATGACATTAACTGTCGCAAAAGAAAACAAATTGTGCTATAAAAGTCTCTCATCAAACAATCTCTTGTCCTATAGGATGGCACGCCACATTTTAGCCCTTACACTCAAAGGCAAAGTTTTGTTTTTCTCATTTAAATGTAAATTCCCAACTCCAGAGAGCATGACTATGAAAAATGAAATGATTACAAAGGTGACTCCTGTTTTTGTAGTGTAGAAAATGCTGTACGAGGAAAACAAGTGCCGGTTTTTGATTGTGACACAACTGTAGGTGTTATGATTTCCATGCAATGCTGTAAACACTATTCCAAGAGACAGATGGGTTATATACATCCAACGAGACACGTTTTGATGATCATGTATGCAAAATTTGATTTACCTTTTAATTATTAATGGTAATGGTATGCCAGTGAATAACCTACTATTTCTGCTGGAAACTATACATTGATCTGAGAATAGTGTAACATTGTGTATGAACAGAAATGAAATAAGTATTGAAGACAACACAGTCGCACACAGTAACCGTTGACTCTTGGGTTCAATTCCAGACTGAGGTGCCTTTCTTTGTGTGGAGTTTGCATGTTCTCCTGTGTTTGTGTGGGCTTTCAATGTTGGCTTTGACTTCCTGTTATCTCCCAAGTCATGCTGACTGAGTTATGTGGTATTCTGTTCCCTGTGATGGTCTGGCATCCCATCTACTGTAGATGTTGTCCCACCTTGTCCCCAATGATTCTGGGTTGGGCTGCAGGCTGCCTTAATCGTTACTAGGAAGAAGCAACTTTCTGAAAATATTTGAATGGATAGATGTATAGGATAAAGCACACCAATTATAGGGTCAATATAGGGTTACTGACTAGTCCATAGATGCTTGTGCATGTTTGGATGGATAGATTTACTAAATCCAGAGAAACAGTCGCTATGTCATAGGAAATAGTAATAAGAATGCAATAGGAAATCCTATTAATTGCGGAAACATCCACTGCTCAGTGCTAAAACCCCCATGCCATGTATTTTCACATCTGAGCATTTTTTACACTCAAGTTCATCTCAGCTACTTAAAAATTCTTGAATCATAAATACTTAAAAATACTATTGAAAAATTATCTCTTTAAGTAGGATGAATTCTAATTACAAAAATTAGTTTTTGCATACAGACAGACTTCCAGAATATGAAAATACTTTTTATTAGTAATAAATTCTGAGCATTAATTGATCATTATAGCAATTAGTCCTTAATACCTATTTCTTTAATACAGGAGTCTACAACAACTGAGTCCTCAAACATGAGGTTATGACAATAATTATTTCAGCTGTCTATTGACAGATTAATATTAAATTTAATTTTTCTATAGCAAATAATGAAGAACATGGTTTTCCATGTTGAAAGAGAAATGTATGTTCAACAGTCACTTTGAGGTCCTGACCTCACCCTTTGCAATTCAATTGCAGTTCAAACTGTATTTCTCAAAAAATAAAACATAACAGATTTGTGTTGCTAGTCAATTTTAGCTGTTATGTAGCTGATTAAATAAAACTACCTTTCTGGCAACAAAAAGTATGGCTTCTACATACATTGTTGTAGCAAATTTTCCACCACTTTCAATTCTTCAAAGAATGAGAATCTCACATTACTTCAGCGCAGAATAAAAGCGTCTCCATTATGCCAACACCATTTGAGTTCTATCATGCCAGTGAGAGAATGTAAACAGGAAAAGTTCACAAGTTTATGTGTTGAATTTAGCTGGAAACTGCCTTTAGGTGGAGAAAGATGTTAAGGATTACATAACAGGGTTTTTTTTTTATAAATGTACTTTTCTTTGATTAATTCCATTAAATATCTAGGAAACTGCACAGTGATGTCATAATTCTAAATCATATAATTAGAAACGGTTGTGTGACAGATAGCAGATTTTTCCAATTAATTAAGCTTTCTTGGTTTGGAAAGCAAAAGGAAATTCAGAAGGAATGGTGTGCATGCGACTCTGTGTATACCACCTGAATTTACTTCCATCTGCTGAAAGATAATTAATATACTAGAGCTCCAATCTGTATTTGTTTGATCATCAGTTTCACATGAATAGGAAAAATGTTAATGATAAAAACTTTATGTCATTCATCTTTACACAGGCTCCCCTGTGACCCTGTACTGGATAAAGTAGTTATAAAATAGACACATAAACATAATTATGGAATCAAATCATTAATAATAGGAAGAATATGGATTAAGATAAAAGAAAACTAGAAAAAGTCAGATTGACTCTTCTAGTTAAAATCCTGGGGCATTGGGGATCTGAAGACAGCTTTTACTTAACTTCCTATTCTCCGATTATTCTGGGGTTAGAGACAAGATTTATTACAAAGACATGATATGGTTATTCTGGATCTAGCAAACTGAGTAGCACCTCATGAACCTGTCATAAGTTTCTCTCAAAGTTGTAACAGCAACTAACCATCCAGTTTCAGTGGAGAAGACAGGATCACACTACCAACTACTGTATAAACAACAATAAACAATACTGGCATGATCAATGCTGTTGTCACATTAACTGGGTATGACCCCATCAACACTTCAAGCCTGTATGTCCTACTGGAACGAAAAATGTGCTTCTGTGTGTAAAACATTATTAATTTGAACCATTTTTGTTTTGTCTATGTCTATGAATGGTAACTAAAAGGACAAAAAGGATAATATGCTTCTGAACCTTCCTGTTAAGCCTCATAGCTCTTAATGACTATGTGTAAAAATGTTATTTGAGATTAATGACATAAAGCTGCAGTTTAATTTAAGGACTTGACTAAACAAAAGTAAACACATGACATAACTAACATAATACTGTACTATCAATGCATTATTGTAGACAAAGATGCTAGCGTTCTGAAGATTAACCATTTAGTGGCAACAAACACATTTAAGCTTCTGCATCCCTCAAGTATTATCACCAGCCTTAAACTCCCTAACAATGCCGGATAAATTTAAAAATAATTTATTTATAATATACAGTATAGCAATGTCTTAATGGCTAATGTTTTAATGTCTGGTGTCGTATGTGTGCTTCTTAAAGTGTTTCTGCAGATGGAGTTTGAGTATTTTGGAACCTTTTACTGATGTGCCCCACTGCACAATGTTGTGTGCAAAGGTAGAGTGTCAATCAGTAAAATGAACTGATAGGTTTGGCTGATTTAAAGGGGAAGTGGACTATTTTACTGAGTCCATTCTACCATTATAGTAAAATGTCTGCTTTGTTACATTACTCTATTGTGTCCTTATGGTGACTAAGAGAAAAATGTAGATCATTTGATTAAAGCACATACAATATTTCACATAAATGAAAACATCACAAACATTTCCATTTGGAAATGTAACTTGTTTGTGGGACATCCTATAGAGAATACAGCTCTCTTAGTGAGTGGGATAGTCCAATAAAGCTACAGTACAAGGTACTTTGGCTCAATTTCAGTGAAAACATTCTCTCATCTTCTACATTCTCTTTTCTCCAAAATGCAACACATACTTCTGAAATATGGATAAAAAAGGGGCACACTGCATATTTGGCACTAGAAAGTTGACAACAGAGTCCTGGAATGCAGATTATTATTACTGAGATTAAACAATGCAAAAGAATAAGTAATGTGTTGGGGTTTATTCGATAAACCATAATATAAAGATAGAATATATATATATCTATAGAAAGTAATTTATGGAATAAGTCTTGTGAACATACCTTTGATATGCAGTATTTCTACCGATAGACACAGAACCATTGAAATGCAATTTTAAGCTACATTTTTTTTGACTGGAATGTTTAATAACGATAATTAACACAGCATTCCCTTACATGTCGGACAATTGACAGACGCATTGCATTAGTGTTTGTTTTGTAATCCTCAGCTCATTATTACTGTAACATTTTTATAAACTTCCTTTAAATAATTACAGCTAAACCAGGAGAGTCTAATCCTGTTTTTGGGTGGACACTCTCTGCAGCTTTTCATTCCATTTAAACCTGCAAGTGCTGTAATTACAATACTGTAATAATTGTACTCTTAAGTGCCCAACAACACTTTTTATTGACTTAATTGGACTAGTTTACCAATTCCTAATCTGCTGGTGATTCAAAGCAGCATTTTGAACCAAACCAACAAAACCCAATTACATGACCACCAGAATTAGACAAAAGTAAGATTTTCATTAAATAATACTGATACTTCTGTTTTAAAGGCTGCATAGCAGACATCCCCCAAGAGAAACATTTGATTGTCAAGCCCTGATATGTAAAACACAATCCGGAATCAGGCAAAATCATTATTAAGAGCTGCGGACAGAGCAGCTGTTGTTTAAATCAGCTCAGCTACAAACACAGGGATAATTATCATCCTTTTTTTCCTAACCTTGCCACTCCATCTCGCAAGCCAGGTTAGAAACTGGCAAGCATTCTGTCTCTTGGTAAATGAGTGTTACACTTTTTAAAGTATTTTCTTGTTAAAGCAACACGAGGCAAAGTTAGAAGAAATCCAAACTCAACAAAGAGAAATTCATTCAAACTGTGAAAACCAGGATTGCTCAGGGCCACCACTTGAGCAAACTCAGGCAGATAGAATGCCTGACTAGGGAGTTCCAGACGATCATATAGCCCTCACTCCAAACAACAGCCTTTAGCTTTCCCAGGAAAGAGCCCAGGAGAGCAGATGGAGGCCCCCAGTTCTCCTCAGTCAGAGGCCCATCGAGAATCCGCCAGAATAAACTTCTCCAGGGCTCCCGTAAGGGCATGTCATCCTATCCTTCTCACACCACTTTCTGGAACTGAACACTTGCTAGAAATTGGAAGACTGAAAATATTTCCCCACATTACACTGCAGTGTGCATTCAAAATATGGTCCTACAGTATGTTTGTATACTAAGCAAAGGAAGCCATCTGAAAAAGACAACCACTATCTCTAGATGTTTAATGATGTTTAATGATAAAAGAGAAGGGCAATATTAACCCAGAAAGCATTTCTGAAGCCAGTCATTCAGATTCCTTTGTCCAGCAATGCTGCTATTTACATCTGCAAGCAGAAAACTCTGAAGCAGCGCTCAAGATGAAATGCTTCAGCAGTATAAGGAGCTCTCAGAGCTGAATACCCATACTGTACAAGCTGTTTATCTTATACATCGTTCTTCATCCACCGGTGACTTATCACTGATATGATCTGCCAACAACAATTAATAAGATGATTATTAGAATAAAAAATTAAATCAATTAATCAAATGCTTCACAACAGTTTTACATTTATCCAATGATTAAGTCAAAGAAATTTAAATTACATGTTCGTAATCACTTGTAGTTTATACTAGAGCCAATTGTAAATTGCCTGATGATTTCTGCTTAACCAGAGTAATAATAAATGGGAATTTAAATGAAACATGTTTAGGTAACAGTTATAAAACTCGTAATACCCAAATAAAAATATAAAAAACACAAGTTATAAAAAAGAAACACCATAATACTTATACGATTGTGGTATTCAACCCTGATAGAGCTCACTGACATAGAAATGTACTCATTGTCCAAGAATATTTTGAAAACAAAAAAAAATGACAAATAAACAGCAGTGAATTAATCTCTTTGGGAAATTCTGTATCCAATGTCAATTTTTAACAGGGGTGGGAATCTCTAGGCACCTCAAGATTCGATTCGATTTCGATTCAGGACGGCACAATGCGATTATAATTCGATTCTCGATGCATCTCGATTTTTTTCTATACATCATGATTTTTGTTTTAACGCTCGCTGAGAGTCCAAATTCAGTGTGTGGGCATAACATCACATGTGTAGGAGTTTAACAGACATGTTAGAGGCGTTGTGAGTCACCCAAACGAAATCTTTTGTCATGAGCTGCCATTCTTCTGCAACATTTCAGCCACGTTCGCACCTGTATGGCTCTCACACTGTACATTGCTCTAGCCTGGAGTACGCGAGACACGAGCTGCCATTCACCGGTGATGTAGTGCGCGGTAATAGTGATATAGGATTCTGTTGCAATGGACGTCCACGCATCACAGGTTATTTCCACCCTCTTGCTTTCTTCAATGATTCCAAGACTTGAGTTTTGGTGTCGTTGTAGAGCATTGGTATTGCTGTTTCACTAAAGTGACGACGAAACGGTATGTTGTACCTCGGCTCCAGTGTTTGCAACATTAAGCGAAAGCCCGGGTTTTCAACAACGGCGTAGAGGCTTTAAACTTTTGCGATAAAACTTGCTAGACCTGGTGATTCGCTTCGCCCTTTCCGAACTATGTGGAAGCTTTGACGCTTGCTCGAGGGTTCTCTGTTCGGCAGCAACAGGAACAGGCCGTTTTTCCTCGTGAAATGTGAAATGTGATTTCGCATGTTCGCTGTATTCCCGAAATATTTATCTTGGTATGCCACAGCTTGCACACTGCATGGCTCTTATCCAGCTCAATTTTACCTTTTACTTAATCAAATCCAAAATGTGCCCATGCGGTGGCTTTCCAAGCGGAGGGTGCAGGCCGGACTTCACTGTCCATCTTCACAAAGCGGGTAGCTTAGCTTAGTTCAGATGTAAGCATGGCGCACTTGGCGTCTAGGTTATACTGTACGTCTTTACGTTTCATCACGCAATTAGCCCAAAAAACTAAACCATTATTATTTGTCCTTTACGTTGTATTGTTTTTATCTGAAATGTTTAGTACTGTGCATATTCAAAAAATGCAGATTCTTACAAGAGAGAATCACGAGATGCATCTAGGAATCGTTTTTTCCCACTCGAATTTAGTGTATGATAACTTTGCAATTAATTAACTAATTATAGTTTAGGCTAAACACTGAATGCACTTTAAAATCCATAGATATGTTCTAATTCATATGATAGAGTGACTACTACATGTAGTGGGAGACTGCGTCTATGGATTGTAATACATGTCAAGAAACAAATGCATTTGGTTCAAATACTCAGTGGTTGTGTATTTAATGCAGTTACTGTAGTTGTATAATGAGAGGTTCACCTTTATTTTCTTTCAAAGTATCAAGACAGAAATAATGGGAATTAAATTAGAATCAAGGCTAAAGTTCTGTTCTGGTAATAAAACATTTTAACACACTTTTGTGTGAAAATTAGAATTGAAATTTTAGAAACTTTTGTGTGCAGAAACTTTGGCTTACTTTGATGAATCACATCACTCTGGCTCAAACCAATTATTGAAATGAATCCAGAGGAGATAAAATCACAAGTGGATCATCCAGTCCATATTATTTTTCCAATGCCTGCCATGATAAAATTGAACATGCTTTAACTCAAACTACTTTTTGTATATTTTTAGTCTCTGAAACAACCTAAATATAATGTACTACAGAGGACATTTTAGAATCCGCTAGCATATCCTTTGACACAGTAGATCTTGAACCTTTGAACTTCAGGCACTGAATCAGCAGATTAATAATAATAAACTTTATTTTATATAGCGCCTTTAAAGGTGACTTCTCAAAGTGCTTTACAGAATGACAACGACAATAAACAAAAAGAATACACAAGATAAAACACTGTACTATACCTCTAGGTATTCCCTAATACAGACAATATTTTGCTGTAGTTCATTTATTACTAAGCAGAAGCCAGCTTTTATGTGGTTCTCCATCCATATTCTCCCAGGCACAAATTTATGACAGGACTCAGCATTAATCATTCAAACTGTTTCTCATTGCACACACTACCCCCATTCTTTTTGAAAACATTCACACCATTCACACAATGTTTCTGTGACAGAGTGAATAGCCAGTAACTGTCCTATGAATGTCACATGGTTTGAAACCCCTGGCAAACAGATGACCCAATGACTTCTCCTTGCCCTGTAACAGAGCTCATTCTTAGTTTTATGACAAAATGGCCAACACCATACTGAAAGAGGCTGGGTACTAAGAGGTCAACAATTAACTCACAATGGTAAAGTACACCTGGATTTTATGTACCAACCACTGCAGGAATGTATAATATACTCCATTTACTGAGCTAGCTTCAAATTGCTGTAGCTCATTTTCATTAGACTCTGCTTATGAGACACGTATTCCTAGTGCCATTTTCCTGCAAAGGATACTTTATATTTAGCAGGCATTGCGGGAATCTAGATTTACTGAAGGACTATGGAACATCACTTCATCACATTACAATGACAACCCAGTGGGATTTAAATCAAGTCCCTGTATTTTTTTCCTCCATCTTTTAAAATAAACCGCTGTATTGTTTAAAAAACATGACTTTCCTGTCAGCTTTGAGAGTATGGAAGAGGAGATTTAGGAGTGGCGAGTGAGTGACAGGAATACTGAATTCATATCAGGGCTAGCTAACAAGTAAATCTTATTTTCACCCTGCTCCGATCTAAAGCAAATACATTACTGAATTCATTCTTCCTTACTGCAGTACATATGTCTGAGAAGTTTAGGATCTATGTAATTGCTGTGAACCTTTCTACAGCACTCCTACTCTCTCCCCCATGAATGTTAGCAGAAAACAGAGAGGGAGGGTGGAATGGATAAAACAAACTGTTGACCTAATTTCACCTGGACTTTCAGGTTAGACATCAGATAGACTGACAGCTGGAAACATGTGCTTCCAGGTTTCTAACCATCCATTGGTCAGGTGATGGACAGCGACAGGTCATCCCTACTGCCTTCTGGGAAATGTGATTCCGAAAAGACCTGCCATTTTGTATGAACTTACTACCCTCTCAAGAAAATGTTATGCGTAAGAGGAGACCCATCTAGCCCATTTGAATGCTAGTAGTCCCTTAAGCAAAGGGCCTCATACGGGCAGAGTACTAGATTTATTCTAGGCCCCACACTTGTGTGCAATGTCTACGTGATGACCTGCATCTTCTGATATGTTTTCTACTGTAACGCATAAGGCCACCATTGCAGGTTGTTCGTGCCGGGTTACCAGCGCGGTGATGTCACCGCCCTTCCCTGTGGATAGCATGGACCGCAGCTGTTAGGCTGATTGGAGATTTCCCTCTAGCTCAACTGGCTGGGTCCCTGTTGAGTGACGTCGGAGGCCTGGGTTTGAGTCCCCATCGGTGGGGGGGCGGCCTGAGGTGGCAGCCGAGAGGGCGCATACCCACAAGAACCCGAGAGCACTACACTACAGTATTTATGATTCTGAGGGAGTCCATTGGGTTAAATTTGTCAGTGTCTTTGAGAGCTATACTTGTACCAGGCCCCCTTGTAGTATTTGCCATAGACTTCTATGGATGTCTTCTTTGTAAAGATTCTACAGCAGTTGTATGTGTTTTTTGTAACATGGTGACCAAAATTGTGTTCTAAACAAAGTCTCACTAGTGATTTGTACTTTTTTTGGTACATTAACCATTTTAACAAAACACCACTTTGTTTAAACTGTACACTTTTAACAATACATCATACACTTTTCCGTTTCATTGCTTCTCCACATTGTAGAGGATATAAATGATGTAGCTACTGTATATAAACACCTAAGTTGCTACCTCAAGCTCAGCATTTCTCTCTTTTCAACTATAGTTTATGATTTTACTACCTGTTGTAGTATCATGTAATGTTTAATGCAATGCTGTAGTTAAGTCATACCTACGTTTACTTTAACCATTTTGATTATCCCCTATGGTCTTATTTCCACAGATAATCCTCTATTTGAGTTCTAATTATTTGTTTCCATAACTGTATATGGAACAGAAGTCAGACTTACTGGTATGGATTTATTGTACCTGGTTCAGTTTGTCAGACATTTCATGGATGGACATGACATAAGCAATTTTCCGGTAAAATGGTAACGCCATTGTCTTAAGTGACTGTTAAAAGAGTTTTGTTACTGGCCAATGAATATCTTCTCTTGTTTCCTTAAGTTTACGTTTGTTGTCTTATGCACAATTGGTAGCATACCACCAGGCCTCAGAGCTTTGATCTTAAGTGCTTCCAGTACTTCTAGCACTTCTGCATTTTCTTTGCTAATACTATTAAATATATACTGTAACTTAGTCCAATCTCGGTTTGATATATTGTTGATTTGTTTTTGGTATACACCTGAGTTAAACATTGTTATAATACCTCAACCATTTCCCTTTCAACATCTAGATGCTTTCCATTATCCTGGATGCACTTTATTTTATTCTTTCACTTCACATGCTGTTTTAATACTGAAAAAAACAAACAAAGTTTTATTATTTATTTTAGGTTCCATTACAAAATGCCTTTCCAATTCTCTTGCGGGTCTGGCCCTTTCAAAAATCATACTGGAACACGGATAGAACTATGTAACGATGTCTCCCCCAATTACTTATACACGTTTTTATCTTGAATACTGGCTAGTCTGATCTTGCTTATATTCGATTTTCATTGCTGTGTGAGATAAAAAGATAAAATACAGGGCTTCGACGCACTTTACCAGACCTGGGTAAATTCGACGTAGAGAATTCCGAGAGTTCTTTCCAAAAAAGCTTCTACCAATGTTTCTCGCATTGAGCTAAACTACACACATCTTTAAACAGCTCCGAACAGATTTCACTTCCCTCTGAGGTATTCCGTCAGTTTTGGTCGGGTTTAAATTTATCTTGCACATGCAAACTTACCCAGAAAGCAATTAACTGCAAGAGGAAACATAATGCAGCAATTGTAAACATTGGTTAATTGTATATGCGAACACCCGTTTGACATAATGAGTAGGTGCACAGATGGTTGAAAGAAAATAAAAACGCGAGAAGTGATATACAGTAGAAAGGAATAATCGGAGAACACAATTCAACCTTTAGGAAGAATGAAAGAATGAATCACGTCTGTTGCAGAAAACAAGACAAAACTTAAAAGTTATGGTAAGAAGATGAAAGCATGAACCTCCCAGGCTACAAATGACATATTATTTCTGTAATATTACAATTGTGAGTAATGGGGACTAATTATTCAGGGTTTCTTAACTGTCCATAATAAAACAATCTATAGAATTTTGAAATGCTGAGAAACTTGTCTGGGAAATGCGCAAAACAAATATTTTAGTGACATTAAACAGTTATCGTAAGAAGACTCGAAAACCCTAATTCTTCTGATATATACACCTTGAACAGGTGACTAACTGGGGAATACGGTATTCAAAAGGTATATGATGATACCAGAGTCAACCACCAGTAAAAAGCTCCTCGAAAATAGCTAATTTAAATTTTATTGAGTTAGGGTTATACAATCGGCGTCAATTTACAATCTAATGTATATATTTAAACGTACTGTAAAGGTCTATTAGCAGACAATAGTCCTACTTTTGTGGGTTCAGTGGGTTTACTAAATACTAACGTTTCATACTCTGATGTTTATTGAGCTACCTGCATTTCGAGATTAAACCAGTGATTCGAATAATGTATTCATTAATTTAATTTTAATCGTCATTAATTCAGGTTTAATTAAAGATTTATTTCCATTATACGTAATTCCGTATCTTCGATTAAACACACTCGCATCCCAGCATTTCCACTGTGGCACTACCTCGTCCTTAGTGCTGTGGACACACGCAAGTATTCGGCATCTGATTTGCGACGTGACGGATTTTGTTTTATCAAAGATGGCGGCGCCCATTGAAGTGTCGTGAGACCTAGTTTGTCTCATAATATCAGCTTACTTCTCTGTTGTCATTCAGAGAAAAGTAAGAAATGCAACAGGAAAAATATAATTTTACTTAGATATCAATGTTCGAATTTTAAGGTACAGCGTTTAACATTGGTACACTCATGAGCAAATCAGGTTTAAATAACTGCGTTGTACTTTGTAAGACACAGAGTATCTTGTGATCATCTGTATTGTTTGTCTGACAGCTTGTCTATGAAATTGAGCAGCTGATTAAACAGCTAAGTATATGTTCGTGTCTTAATATATTTGATTGCCAGAATGACTTTGGTGCGAAACACGCTTACTTGCCTTGGTGTGTTAAATAGAGGTCACAGAAATATTAGCCTTTTTTCAAACTCTTCGCCTTCTAACTGGAGTAAAGTTGTTTCCGATGCTGAAAAGATAGTAGGGTATCCAACCTCTTTCATGAGCCTTCGCTGTCTATTAAGTGATGAACTCAGCAACGTGGCAATGCAAGTCAGGAAACTGGTCGGAACAAAACACCCTTTACTCAACACTGCAAGGTAAGAGTTTGTCATGTCCTGAGACCATTTAACGTATGTCCAATAATTTAATTAGGTATTGTGGTTGGAGGGTGAGGGCAATGTATGTTTATGTTTCCCACAGTGTATTTACTTTACCGTGTTCCTGCGCGAATTTACTTTGGTTGCAGTGTACCACGGTACGCTTGGTTCCGTTTTTCCCATAGCAAAATTTTTAAAAGGACGTTTTTCACATGCAAGACAAAGATTTGATTTAATCAGTGCATTTTAGAGGACTCTCGGTGAAACAAATATTTGACATCTTAACAAGGTTTGAAAGTTCTTTATAAGTACAGGTCAGTTTGCACAATTAAAAGGTTTCATTTTCTCATGCCCTGAATATGTACAGTAGTGCACCTCATCTTCAGCTCTGAGTTGCCTCCAGAACTGATGATAGTACACCCCCCTGGTCCAGCTCATGCACAGAACACAGACTGCCATACTAGCTAGTCCTAGAGCAATATTGTATGTGAGAGATTTACAAGGAACACTGCTATGTGAATGTAAATCTTTTGGAATATTCGCTTTCATTTTTATTTTTAGCAATTTGGAAGTCTGTAAATTTATACTAAATTACATTTATAATCTTTGCAGTACATGATTTATTTTGAACATGTATATACTTCAGATCTAATCAGCTTCTGCTTGCCTATATCGCTGTTCTCTAGTAAACCAGGAGCATAGTCCTCTTGGACCAGTTATCTTGAACGCAGTTGGCTAGTAAAATAATAAAACCATGCCACGTTTTAACAGACCTACTTACATTTCTTTCTGTAACTGGCTAATTGTAAAACATGCAAATTAACAGTGGAAAATAATGAAGGCACTGTATTATCAGCTAAGTCATTGGTTTATATAAAATCATATCCTCTTTCTAAAAATATGCAGCTGAGGATATGTTTTGTGCACATTTTCTACTTTCATTTTCTATTGAAATCATCCACTTTTTTTTGCCAAACCCAAACATTTGTCTTATTTTTAGCAGTTATTTGCTCTGAATTTTTAGTCCTATTCATCTTTCATTTAAAATTAGCTCCTTTAATTTTTTCACACTTGTGTCAGATTTATTACAAATAGGGGTTGAGGTTAGGACAGCACATGTGTTTTCAAAGTGTTACTCTTCTTTCTGATTTACAGTAAGCTACTTAACTGTAGATTTATTTTGACTGTGTGATTAGGATTATAATATTTAAAAAAAAAGACTTTTCAAACTACCTTAAACCATTCCTAATATCCTAGTTGTTTTTGGCAATGTAGCATTCTGACAATCTCTGTCCTGTCTTTCTTCTTTTGCACTGTTTTGTTGTGAATATATTGTACCAGTACAATGTACAGTTTGTTCTAGTAGTGCATTACTAAGGTCATGTTAGTGACCCAATAGCTTTGACTGCTGTTCTAAGTATTGGAAACCTCTATCCAGAAAAAGGTTGTTCTGCAAATTTATAAAATGTAGTAAAGTATTATTATTCTATTCTGCAAACATCTGTACTGTTCTGTGCTTAGCTTTCAGATCTTTTATAAAAAAAATGAAAAGTTTCTTTTTTGTGATCAATAGAGTAAAATTTTTCAAATTAAGTGTATTTTGTTTATGCCTTGTAACATTATTTTGTGGGCAGATCATGAAATACACTTCAGAAGGAATATGCAGATATTGCCTGTTTTCAGCCCATGATTGAAATTTTATCCACTTGATCTCAGCCAAGTGGTTCCAGGTTCAGAAATGCAGAGATGTCTTCTCTTTGCTGTCCTTGGCGAGCTGCATCCACCTCCCCAGGGCTACAGAGTACAACATCATCACAGTCCTTGTTTGCCTCAACAGAAGTTGGATGCTTATTTAATTAGTTTTAGATCAAACGTTGACCATCAGGGATTGTAGAATTTTGAATACTTGAATCAGGTCTGCTGTGTTCAAGATCAAAAAGATGCAGAACTTTTCCGCAGGTCCTTCCTCCCGTCGGCAGTCAGGGTGTATAGCGCTGCCCTAGGCTAGGCCTGTTAGCCCTTCATCTGCTCATCTATGGACACCATGTTGCACTCATGTAGTTTTTGGACACTGAATTAATCTACTGTTTATACTGTGGTATTTTCAATATATATATATGCATTTTGCACATTTTATTGTTTAACAGTGACTATTAGCATCTTTTGCACACGCCTATTTTTTCCTAAATCTGTTTATTTTATTTTTGTGTTCTATATTGTTTACTATATTATTTTATTTTTAGTCTTTTCTAATGTCTGTCTTGCTTGTCAAGCTGCTGTAAGGCCTCAATTTCCCTTTGGGATCAATAAAGTCTTATCTTGTTTTAGCCACTGTGCAGAGGGCCACTTGAGCCCATCAATATATATGTTTACTCTTGCCTGGTCTGGTTCCTGAGCAGTAATGTATTTTTTTATATTATGATGACCAAACTTTAAATAAAATATTATAAATAAGGCCTTATTAGTGCATTGTACAATTTCAACATAGTGAAAATGCTGTTTTTTCAATATTCTGTTTGCCTTTTTTAAAGCTTCCCCAGATGATCTAGAAGATATACATGTACAACATCCAGGCTGTAGCTTCTTCAAGCTCATTATTTCTTATTTTGAATCTATAGTTTGTTTTGGTGCCTGCATGTAACACTATGCAGCTACCCACCTAATCTGAAATTTGTTTGGCAAGTTTTGAATTGTATTTAATAGTTTTGAATTTGTTTTAAAGCTTCTATAATTTTTGCTAATGCTCCTACAGTATGTTGGTATTGAATGTGAATTTGACTTTTATTATGTAAATCCAAATGATCAATTTAAATGAGAATATTGGTCCTAATACAGATTCCTGTGGTACTCCACCAATGGCATCACACATATTTTAACCCTTTTCTCTTCTGTACTGTGGTTTCTATCCACTACCCACTTCTCACTCCAATTGCATGCATTTGCCTCCTGCAATTTGAGAATTAACCTTTAATGAGGAGGAGTATGATAATGTTAAAATTATCTAACATTGAAGTAGTTCAGGTGGGTAGCTGCATCAGCATGCACAGGCTGCAAAGGAACAAGTAATGGGTCTCTTCCATGCTGAAAAGAGAAGAAAGAAAATGCAACATTTCGGTTGTGACTTCTTCACACCAGAAGAAGGCTCCACAGCCGAAATGTTGTGTTTTCTTCTCTTTCCTGCATTATCTAACATTTATTACCAGCTGATATAGCACCAGACACATCCTTAATTAAGGTGGCTCCAGAGATCTGACAACATTCCAATTGCATAGTGGACAAGACTGGATGGTGCAAGAGGCTTTATTGCAGGGATATCAATGCATCTGTTATAACAAAACTCTAAAAATAATCCAATCCAGGCTGCTGTCTAAGTCCCCAACACCTGGTAACACTGTGACAATCCTTTATATAACCCCAAACATTCTAATTGACCCCCATGTAGGAATGTGCTTTTTAAACGCTTCATCAATTCCTACTTACCTATAAAGTAATCATCACCCAGTGTCTCTATGTACAATAACAGAAGCCTTTAATAGCCTTTAGTGACATGTTGGTTGATAAATAGTCCACTCAAAGACCAGCCTTACATGCATATTTACTGCTTTCATCCTTTACTGTTGCTCTGTGTTCAAAGAACTCTAATCTGCTCTTACTGTATATTCACTAAGGAAGTGCATTTAAAACCAAGAGGATCAGGCATTTCTTTATCCAAAGAGTTGTGAGAGTATGGAACAAACTATCCAGCAATGTTGTTGAAGCTGCTACCCAGGTTTCTTTCAAGAAATGGCTGGATGAGAACTTTGGATCCGTTAACTACTGACTGTCAAACACGCTTCATAGGTATATTGGCCTCCACTTGTTTACGACATTTCTTATGTTAAGAAATGTTCTAGCCATTAGAAGCCCTTAAAATAAGTATGCAGGGCCTCGTGGTATTCTACCAGTTGCGCTTAAGAAAACAAGAGATGTTTTTGTTTTCACAGGCCATTAACAAAATACTTGCAGCACTCCAGACAGCAGTAACACTCCCAGACCACTGGAAAATGTAGCGCCAGTATATAAAAAGGGTGACAAACTGATCCAAGTAATTATAGTCCAATCAGTCCAATTTTCACTTTGAAACAAATGGAAACAATACCCAAGTTAGGTCAGCAACTTCTGTCTTTCAGTTCAGCCTGCCAGGGTTTACACAAGGCCCTTTCCTTCTCGGACTTTCTTAGAGTTTAGTGATTCTGGTTGTGGACAGCCTGCCATATATCCATCTGCTCCATTTTGTTGTTGAGAGAAGACGGAGCTGTTGCAGTCCTTTAATCCAGTGGTAAAGCCAAGACTGTACTATATGGTCCCTAGAGTGCTCCAGGCAGCTTGATATTACTAAAGAAATTTCACACAGCCCCTGAAGCAGCCCACAATAAAGTTCCTCGGCGACCAAATCTGTGCCTTTGAGTGTCGTGGCAGTTCCACAGGTGAATGCTGGCAGGAAAGAGTGGTGTTTGTAGTTGTGGCCTCAGTGGGCCCAGGAGAACTTCAGTCCCAGTTTTTTCAGATTGGTTATTAAATCTCGATAGCAAAATAAATGACTTGACGGTTCGGACGTTTTGTTTTTACAAATTTTGAATTAAGCACCAAATCGCGAACTTTGTTTAAGTTTAGGATTGTTTTGTTTAACTTTGTCACAAACCCCTGGTCTCACCATGGGCGAGAGTGCGAATACTTGCAGATTGCGGCCCTTCCTGCTCACTAGTCTCCATAATAACTAATGTGATATAGCAGCTGTACATCAGACGTTTCACTGCAGAAATGTCCCAAAGTGATTTGCCTGCAGAGTTAACAAGTAAGTAGTATGTGTTGGCCAAACTGTCTTGAAATCGAGAGCAATATTTTTACTGGATTAAAAGAGATGTATTCACAAGCCTGGCTGTTTACAATGTAATAGGACCGCTTCAAGTCCTTAGATGTTTTGTTGCCTCGTTCTGAATCTCAGAACATGGTGCTGCACA